ACTAATAGGGCAGCATGACACAGGATCTCTCTTATCAACATCTTTAAAAATTGGGTTATATTTTAATTCCAATGTATTGGATACATGCCTTCTAAAACAATTATATTAAAGAGTTTAGTCAAAATTGGACACCACCAGGCAATGAATTCCCTGAAAATTTCTCAGGAAAGAAAATCAAGGCTAGGGGCCTTTCCACATCTCAGTAAGGATCTATATAATTTTAGTTGAGATTGAGTGGTGAGATGATGATCTGCTTGTAGATTAACAGATAAAATTTCCTTCACTGAAAAGCCACCATGTCCTTCACCATTTGTGAGTAATTTGTTAAACTTATTTTAAAAAAATAAGATGTATCTTCAGGAATATATGCATCAGAAATTAAACTAATATTTGTCCCTTTTGTCTACAATTTGCTAAAAATGTCAATTATTATTTTTCCCTATGGCTACCAGTTCTTCTCATAGGCTCATTTGATGTAGTTTCTTCTTGCTATTGATTTTATAGTCTAATCTTTTTTTAATCTTCTTGATCTGTTGGAAGCTAAGTCATTTTTAGACTTGCATTCCTCCAAAGTATCTATTAAATCATCTTTACTTTTAGAGCAGTCCTTGTAAAACCATGGGTTGTGCCACTTACTGCCTATTCACAAAAAAGACACTCTCTTTTTTAAGGTGTTTTCCAACTGCTGGACAACTGCTTCATATTACCTGTTCTTGTACTTTAAGAATATGAGACAAGTAACCTGAGAAAGTATGTTTAAATAGAGCAACACATTCATCTTGTAACTCATTATTCCATTGAATTTTCTTTTAATAGGTTACTTTTAATTTGGGGGCTAGTTGTATTGTTTTTGGGGAAGTCTGCCTATAAGATTCTAATGGAAATTTTAGAGAGAGGGGGAAGCAGTCACCTTCCACAAATTATAAAATTTCAAATTATTTATACTTCCACCACAGATGTGGTTCTATTAAAATATAATCTATCACACGTACCCCTTGAGTTTCACGTGAAAGTCCCAGGTACATCTTTACCAGTTCATCTGTTACACATTCCAAGGTTCTCTTCTGCAATGAATTTCAAAATGCATTGCCCTTCTTCATTTAGTTTCTTATCGCATAAGGTTGCTGGGGAGATGCCCCATATTTCATTTATGACATTTTCATTATCATGGGAGTCGGTGCCACCAATTCTAGCATTAAAATCTCCTGTTATTATTTCTAATTCAGGAAATGTATTTCAGATCAGCTCAAGAGCATTATATAACAATTCCCATTTCAAGATAGCATCAGGTCTTAATGTGAATGGTGGGAAATAAACATTAATAAGAATTAAGGGAGCTCTACCATGAAATTTAATGAGGACTGCTAGTAGATGGTTATAGCCTATTTCAATTTCTAATCCTTCAGTCAGACTCAGCCATGCAATGAACTGACTTACCCTTGAGGCTTGTGACTTTGCAGACTATTATCCTCATCCCCAATAATTTCCAAATTCTCTTTTTACCTTAATAATTCAATAGCAACAATAGCCTAGCACTCTCACACTTAGACTTCAGGCCAGACTGTTGCACTTGAGTCTCTCTCTAGCACTATCTGTAAAGACTATATTCTTTTAGTTTTTAGAAATTGTTTGTTCCATCCCTGGTGTTAGCCAATGTAATGAGAATCATACTTGCATGGCACAGAACTGGGTCACATCAACATTGATAAATGTTTTTGATTTCTGAGAGTTCAGGTGTTCATATTAATATCATCTGTTTGTTTGGAAGCTTTGATGTATGCACAGAACATAGCAGGAGTGGGTGGAGTAGGAATCTACTGGCTCCAGTCATGTTTTGTAGACACTTCCCAGGAAATTGCAATACTCCCTGTTAGGCTCCACATTGTCAGCCTCTCTCTCAGACACACATATGAAAGCACTCAGTTCATTTCATGTTGAAGTATGCTGAAGACATTCAGCTACTTGTTACTTTCTACAACCATGCAGACAATCACTAAATTGTACCAGTGCTGAGGACTCCTTGTATTTTTGCAACTAGTACTTTGGTAGTTTTAATGACAAGGACATAAGCAGGGCAAATTAGCCTGGCTTGAGCTCCACACTAGCAGAGTTATTGCCATCACAGCACTACCCTGCATTAAACAACATAATTATATGCTTTGAAGGGTCAAGATCTCAGTTCTAGGTCTCATCCAAGAAACATAATCTCCAACAGTACCCCCACAACTTCTTTCTGTTGTATGCTAGAGAAAAGTACTGGTTTAAAATAGTTATGTGGCAAGCAAATAGCATTTACTTGCTTGAAATGAATGAAAACAGGAGTAATATTAGTTAGTGAAGTCACATGTGCAAGTAACTTCTACTTGGGTGGTAAATTACTAGATTGTTGTGCTTTTCTTACTTCACATGTACTGTAAAATGCTAATGAAAAAAGAAAAAAATCCTTAACATGCAAATTGTAACCATGGCTGTACTTGAGAGATTTCTGAGAAATCTCTCGGAATGTAATTTGGAATAGTGATGTATGTTTTTTGAAATTAGGTAATATTTAAATATAGGGGTTCCAATATTTAGGTGCTATTCAGTGACACAAATTTCTAGAGGTGCACTGATACATCCGTCTGATATCAGATAAGCACTGGTATAAAGAAAATGGACTGTATCGGAAATCAGCTTTTTTGCCTGATGTGGCTGATTCAAAGGTCAATAAATGCCCCTTGAATGCACGTAGCTGCAGCACAGCACATAGACAGCAAGGAGTACAGCCCTGTAGCTTGGAGAGCTGCATCCAGCTGGTAAGTCTGTTGTGGTGGAAGGGGAAGGGGGAGGGAAGGGACATGGGGGGGTGCAGATTGAGACACCCCCCCGTGGTGAGTGAGGGAGTGGGGCTGCCCAGCCGGGGTGGGACATGGAACGGTGCTATGGCTTGTTTGGGGCTGTGAGGGGCACAGCTACCACTGCTGCATATACCCCCCATAGCTCCCTCCCAGTGTCACTGCTGCCTGCCCTGAGCACAGCCTGGCCTAGGACCCCCCGCCAGGAAGAGCCCAGCACAGCCCCAGCCCGTAAAGGCAGCTTGCCTTGCCCTGCACACATCTGGAGAT